TATTTTGATTTATCATTAAAATACTAAATACCCAAACACGTAAATAAATGTAACAGACAAAGGAAATAAAAAGAAACATGCACAGATTGAGATTTTTTTAGGATAAATTTGTTCAGAGAAACCGTTGGAAAACCCCGGTTGGCGATTGGCGTGTTTCCAACAGAGCTTGTTCGGCGATGCATTTTCCTATTCTGTGTATCATAATTAGATAATTACTCCAGGAAAGAAAAACTAGTGAAAAACAAAAAATTATTTAGTCATAACTTCTTTATTTTTATAACTGTGTTTACATGAAAGACTATTTTTTCAGCGTATAGCAAAACTTTTCAGTAGACAGTTCCAAAGAGCATGTAAATATAATCTAACTATATCAATAACTTATGTATATTTTTTTAAATTAACGTATGTTTGTATCGTATGTGTTCCATTATTGTTCATCGGACTGCGATAGAGCTTTCGTGAGTTGTCGTTCACTAATACGGAGCTATGCTCTGCGACGCCTGAAACCAGTTTTAGGCGGATGCTACTTTGTCGTATACACAGGTCTCCGTGTAGCTTGGAATAATAGACCATCTCTTGAACATGGCCTGATGAAATGCATTTTGGGACTTTGATGCACAAAACACAAAAATTTGCGCTGGAATCGCGAATAAAACCCACTCTTTATACGTGTCCTCCCCTTCCACTAGACACCCCCTCCTGTCCTCCCACTCCACTCTCCCGTCGGCTTCAGCTACAGTTTAAGAACAATAGAGCTTCCAGACACGAGATAACGTGAGAGGAAATGCACTGAATACTTAGACAGACGTATATTTCCGTTTTTATTTTTTTTTAAGCCCTGGATTTGGAAGAGTGGAACTGAATTGTAAAATTCCTGCACGCACTCCGAAATGTACCCAATAGACAACCGACAAGCAAGCCACTGTTCTGCGTTGGTCGAGATTTTGCAGTAGCAAAAGAATCTTTACTAACAAGTCTAGTTTTTGATTTTCGCTCCGAGTCCAAGGCGTTTAACTCGTATCGGGCAGAGCCGTCTCAAAAGTGGCAGCAGTACGCCATACACGATTGAATCAATCAAACAATCAGCTGTAAAATAATGCCTGACTTTGGAAAGAATGCTCAGTTTTTTGTCCACCAAAGTAGACTTTGAACGGTCATCTCGAGTAGCTCAAGATTGCCACTTATCGGCACGGATACATCTTGAAAAGTCGGAGTGAGCACTCCGTTTTGTTGAGAAAAGACACGCCTGTGTTTTAATTTCACATTGTTCGCGTCTCCCAAATCTTCCGCATTATAATAAACATTAATATGGATGTTTTTAAAAGAGTCTGTAATTTCTAATATTTTAATTTCCATCCATCGCTCTGTCAAAAGCTTCCCCAGGAGAAGACTGAGGTCAATTAAAAGGACCAGGGGACCTACTACGAGCTTATAAGCAGCCAGCCAAGTTCCAGGCAATTCATTTGACGTGGTAAAACTGAATTGCTTAAATTCGTATCATGACCTACACAAAGTTGAACGGGAATGGCATGGCATTTACTTTTTAAACGTTAATTATTGTCTATGACTGGCTGACTTCTAATAAGAGCGAGATGGAACTACATACTAAATCCTGGGAGCGTTCAAGCACCACTGACTAATTGTGTTCAAAATGAGAATAATTATATATTTTTATTAATTTTATTATTGATTATACTTACTACGTTATTTTGTAATATCGGCAACTTTTCAGTCATACTTTACAATTTGTCGTACGACAAAATTACATGTCACGTCTAGTCATTATCATTGAAATTAGTAAGGCGAGTTTGTAATTTGATACCATAATTGAAACGTATCTTGTATTCGTACACTTTCATTGGTTGCATTAAAGTCAAATTTGGCACAATTTAATAGTTATTTTCGGTAAATAAAATTATTAAAATGATCAAAATTCCATTTAAAAATTGCAATAACATTAATGCCAATAAATAATTTATCAACAATAATTTAAAGATTGGGAGGTCGAACTAAAATTTTCAAAAAACGCTCAATAGATTAATAGTATTTATTTATTGACAAAAGGCCTATAAAGATAACAAATAATTATGAAACTAAAAATATAATAAAACTTAAACGAAATTTCTATTTTTGAATTGCTTATTTTTACAGATGAGAGCGCCATCAGCACGGCAAATGGCACGTCAAGGTACTATTTTGCTATGAAAGAAAAGGTGAATGGATTTCGAATGGAGACGTAAACTGCATGGACAGTGAATTGTTTTTGTGAGGTCATAGTACGAATTTGCAATCCAACTCACAGGCTTAAATAGGATTGCTCTAAGAGCTCATAGTAGGCCCCCAGATAAAAGTGATAATGTATGTTGGGGTCATATAAAAAGATTCAAGGGAGAGCGTACAACAAGGACTACTGGCAGGGCACTACAACAATTAAAGCCGAGCTCTGAAAAATAATTAACGACCTCATTGATTAAGCAGTCAGAATTCAGAAGAAGGCGGGGTCTTTGATGAATAAAATCCGGGTCAAAACCGATAGGATCAATTTCGGTAACGAAGTATTATCTAAGTTGGTTCAGGTCTAGATTTTTTGTGTACAGGCCTGTAGTGAATTTAGTTTCTATGGTACTCAAAGTGCAGGGAGGGGTGCACTAGAGGAGCCTCCACACGCGACGAACCATTCCTTTCCTGTAAGTCTGCCGCACCCTTAGCAGGAATCGGCGAGTAACTTACGCCAATTGGCAAAATCCTTTCACCACGATGGCAACCATTATAATGTATGCCATCGATACTATAAAAAAAAGAATATACAGAGATATCCGAAGGTTTGCTCTTAAATAGAATACCGCTCTTGGTTATCGAATCTTGTAAATGAATTACTATGAGAATATTGTACATACACAGTGTAAGCACATGTACGTGATCCGTGTCATTAAAGAGCGTGTTATTAAAGACGTCTGTGTGTTCAGATTGTCTATTGTGCCGGCACTCATTGTTCATTCTCGTGCTATATACATGGTGCTCTAGTCGACGTACAGGAAGAAAACTTGAAATTTCAATACCATTTTGCTGCCAACTAAATACCAATTTACACGTCTCAAACTTTCCCCGTACTACGGGCATTCGTGTAGCGAAATTAACTCGGAGGACAATACCCTCAGCACAAACAGCGAAATCAATTTAGAAAAGATCGTTTTCTAAATTGGTTCTAACAGAAATCGAATCCCTAGGCTAGGCTAGGCTACGAAAATCTTCAATCATGTATAATTTGTTTACAAATGTTAATTAGGTATTTTTTTAAATTCTTCCATTTTACAATTGTTAGTTAATGCAACGAAGTGCACCACAGAATAACCTACGGGGATTCCTGCACCGCAGTAGGATATTTCTAAATGATTATATGGTTAACATCGTCTCTACGTAGTGGTGTAATTTGCAACTATTTTGTTTTAATTAAAACTTACCTAGTAGTCGCAGAAATGTTAAATTTTAAAATGACAAATATAAATATATGTAAATAAATAAACAAAACCTCACTTTAAAATGGAGTACCTCATAAATTGCCTAATTAATTAAATTCACTGATATCGCACGAAATGCACTCATTTAAACAAATTTCATTTAAAAAAATGAAACTCGCTATTTCTTCGACAAACATTCAAAGTGACCGTCCGAATGCGTCCGATGCGGCGATAGTCGCGCGCAGTACTGAAAACTGAACACATTGAATACCATTGAGTCGATTAAGTACCATTTTCATAGACCCCTGACTTTCATTCGTTAAAATACATTTCAGATGCCTTTTTAAAATGGTTTTCTCTATACCCTGACCAGCTTCCAAGGACCCTCTCGAGTCTAAATGAAAGATATGTTCTTTCATAAGAGACGTGGTTCATATAAAATTGGTTCTATCTTAGTTGAATTGCCTTGTAATATTGACCAATTTCGGAAGAACTCTCATTTCAATTGAAAGTGTGACTGAAAAGGATCATGTTAAACAGGCGCTGATTGAGCAGGTTTGTTTATAGATTCAATTCTAATACAATTTTGTTGCGGAATGCTGTTTATTTTATAAAACATATTTTATAAACTGACCGGAATTTTAGGGAATTCATAAAAAAACTGATATACAGCTTTTAGTAAACTAAGTCTTTAAAAGTATGCCAAATGCTGTTAAGTTGCGTTGTGCGAATTAAGTGTTGAAAAAAATCAAGAAATGCACATGTTCTATTTTAAGTTCTATTTCTCGCAGCTTGGACCGATTATTGAATTGAGCGTAGTGTCCGTACAACAATAATAACGAAATGGACGGTGATGGGTCTTTTTTCTGACAACTTACGCGCGTTTTGAATAATTCGCATACAAGTTTTAAGTATATAAAAACGGGTAAATTTATTAAATACAAACTGTAACTTAATATTCACGCCGAGTTGAAAATTTCCTACAAGAAACTATCGACCACTATTTTAAATGAGTGATGCTCAAATCGATCCCCAGATTCAGTTTTTCTCTTGTTTCCCTAAAGTTAATTCCGCGTCTGAACCGAATAGACTGTAAAACGACGTAAATGCACTGTATTTATACTATATTCTATAGCAAACGCACTAAAGTGCAATTTCGTTTGTTAAATAGTTTCAGCGTTGGATAAATGACAGCTCAGTTGTGAGAATGTGTGATTTGTCATTGTAAGGTTTGAATTTAGTGAAGAATCGACACATTTTGGTGCTTATAAGAAGGATGTTTTAACGACCATTTTAAACTAAACTAAATTCTATCAATTTTAACCAGAGGGTATAAAAATAATATAAAATCGCAATAGTTAATATTAGTTAGGCCGCAAACATTGTATAATAAACCTAATAAAAACATTATGACGTAAGTTTCTCTGACACTACAAGCAGCGCCATCTATTACCAAGTAGAGAAACAAATATAAGTGTGCTAAAATCTACGTTCACTTCGCAGAAATATTTATCGAAGATGAAAACAAAACTTGGTACTCACTGGTGGTTATGCGCGGCAGAGGTGAGACGGTTGGGGTCGGACGCATTGCGGTGCTTGCCGCGACGCGGCGCGTCTCGCTCGCGACAACTCTCCGCGCGGTTCACGCCGCGGCTGTTAACCGCGGAGCCACGCCAGCTGAAAAGCGACCGTCATTTTAATCATCTATACATTGATATATTCGAACTAACCGCTCCTAATTAACTAATTTGCACTATTTGTCAATATCTAAAACAATGAAACATCACATAACAAACCATAATTTTAAAACAGTGTCGCCGTCTGGTGGCGAGTAGCGCAACTGCAAGTTATTAACTAACACCGCTAGATGGCGATACCTGTATGTAAACAATATTTTTTTTACCTAATTCTAGCGGTGGAAAAATCTGCATACTTTATAACGTGAATACTGATAACAATAAGAAGTGTTATCAAGTCATAGTCCAAAAGCAACTTGTAAGCTTTTAGATAATATTTGACACAATATATTTATCCAAAATTCACCCTGGTTGTATCACAGTTTGATCTACCGTGGTACAGTCATCAACAACAACACGAGTTTTACGTTTTGGACTGTCCTACCAGCATCAGTGGGATCGAGTTGAATTTCAACGTTAAGTGAAAGAGCGAATTACGATGTACGTACACACTTGTCCGTGTACTAACATGTAAAATGAGCACTCACTTGTTGTCTTTATCGAGCTGGTCTTTGGCGGGCGCGTCACTCGCGTCCGCGTCCACGTCTGCTGTCGTGTCCTCTGTGGAGCCCTCGCGGCGGGCCTCTCCTGTTAACAAATACACTATTACTCACCAACATCTACGTACCTATACCGATTAAGGTATAGTACCTGTTTTTAGACCAATTTTTCTCGAAATAATTTAATTAAAAGTATGAAAAATTATATTGTGGAAAATATTTTTGTTTTTGATAATGGAAAAAAAAAATAAAGAAAAATATTGTTATCTGCATTAAAAAAGAAATCTAAAACTGCTAGTCATTAAGAAAAAGGTAATTGCATTACTTACTTTTGACAGCCGCCACGACATCTCCAATTTGAGACAAACATTTAAATATTTTTTGTCGAGTTACTTACCTTGCAAACTACAGATGGTACTGTGATGAGGTTTTGTGGATAAAATAAGAAATACCGGACAACCAAAATGGAGCTTGCAATTACAATAAAAACAATTAGTTGCAATTACATTATCCAGCGGTCGCGAAACAATCATAGAAGCAATTTTTAATTAAAAAAAAGCTCCATTTTTACATATTTTAAATGTGTGTAAAACTTATTCAAAATCAAATCACTCATCGAGTTCTTAGGTTTTCGCGATTGTTACACATAGGAAATGAAACTATTTTTCCGGATTTAAATCAGTCAACCGTGACCATGGGACCTGTAAAGGGCCCGAAACGTCTCGGTTTGTTTAAAAAAACAAATATACGCGATATAAATCCGGAAAAATAGTTTCATTTCAAATCACTCAGTTCAAGGCCAAGTGGAATCTGACTAGAGTTATGACTTCCAAGATAGTAACAAAAAACAGCACTGGGCGCCACCGTTCAAAGTCCATCAAATTTATTTTTAATTGACGCAATTGTGTGGCACATCATCCCCTTTAGCCAGAATGGGCGTTAAAAGTTAAAAAAGCTATTTGCATAGTTCGATTCAGAATCTCCTGTTCCTCAAAATTGCGTCCAGTGGCTGTCCAGAGACGGTCTTTACATAACGTGTGTGTAACAAAACAAGACTAGCCGTAGTCCTTGGTAATCATCTCGATAACGGCTTACAGTGCAGTGTGTCGTGCGCGGACGCCGATGATCTCATCGTGCGACAAAAGCGCAAAGTAACTATAAACTGTTATGTTACCGATATACGAGTTTTATACATTTATCACTACGCATACGTAACACTAAATTTACACGTGCATTCAAACGATTACTGTGCAATACTCAATAGAAATAGTAAACTTGCAACTTCAAGTATTTAAAGCAAATAATCTTGTCTCGGCCTTCATTCTATCTCATAATAAAGCCGATTTAAATGATAAACAAAGCTAATAAAACGTCAGTTTAGATATTGACCATAAAGGCGGCAATTAGAATAATTAGATAAGATGTTTATTAACATCACAGGCTTAATAAATAAATATATTAGTTTACATTTTTTTACATTACCGCCAAAACCGGAAAAACATGAATTGACAACCCTTGAGTTTGAGTCGCTCTGCATCGAGAGAATAAGTAAGTAAGCGCACTAAGGAAACCGCCACTAGTGATGATCGTTTATTGAAAGAATTGTCATGCGCTTTATGGGGAAGGCCTGCGCGCAAATTAGGCAACACAAAGTAAAGAAGCTATGGACAGAGGTACGGAGAGTGTGCGCGGGAACTTTACAATTTAGTTTCACCCTCACTGTTGCTCCTTCTGTCTAATGGACCTTATGTCATTGAATTGACTTTCTATCCATTCACGAACCCATTAGCTTCATCTTTCCTGATGCTTACAGCAAAGAAATGGTTTCCCGAAAACTACAGTTTGGAGCTATTCAAGGCAGTAAGCATTTACTAGATAAACGCGTAACGCAGCATCGCTGCGAGATAGTGGCAATGCGTTCACGATTTTAAATTTTAAAAAAGGCCTTGACCACCGGCCCTTGACCTCAACCCTTAAGAATAAGACGAATATGAGTTAATATTTACAGAAAACGATATAATAAAATTAATAAGAGAACGCCAAGGTCCGCAGTAAACACGACTAAGGCAAACTTTAATAAATACTCAATAACAGGCGTAATTAAAAGCATATGACACATTGTTCGCAGCACTGTGACTGTAATTGCCGTTGCAAATGGCGGGAAATATCTGGCATGCCTTACGATTAGCACAAAGGACTCTTTTATAACTTTAATTGTTTAGTTTAAATATGACGTACAGCGGCAGCTCACATACGTCCAATGTTGGGCAACAATACGACGTTCAGTCTACTATAATTATTTTATAATGTGAAAAGATAAGCATAATCGAGGTTATAGGTTTATGGATTTAACACTTAAATGACAATGACTTGAATGACAATGTGTCCGTAACAAAGGCAAAGGTAGTTTATGGTGAAATATTAAATAGGGTTTCTTAGGAACAAAATGGCAACTGAGAGGTCTTCAAGTTCTAATTTACGTTATAAATGTTTAGTAGCAATATCTTTCGTTAATTAATAAATAACGTCGAAGAAAGTGCACAATCTTTCTAAGATATGTGAGTTTCCAAACCGCACTCGTGTAAAGGGTTGACCATGAGCATTTTTGCCCTAGGGATTGTGTATCAAACTCTCTTTTAACTCAAAGGCATATGAAACCATTTCTCGCATAAGTGCAATTTGGGTATGAATTGCGTTCATTCCGTCTTGCGGAAAAAAGTAGCATCGTAGGCTCCGGAAGAGTAACAACAGCACCCTGAATGTTGTGGCAGAGGACCACAGAGCGCCCGCACTGAGGCATCTCGTACGGACAATGATTCGCCCCGTCACGTGATAGTATAAAAAAAAGATGCCCCGTAAGTACATGTACATGACATTTTAGAGCGTAAGTAATATGTTTCTGTATTTCTTACTAACAATAGTTCAAAAGTTTTATTTCTCTCTATTTTACAGACACCAATGGATCTTGTCGTCAGAAAATAAATATTTTCAATTTGAATTTGAATAAATCACCTGAAATCCACCTGATGGACACATATCCTAGCAATGTGGATAATCACCACACTGCGCATACTGATGATTACAGTACTGTAGCATTAGTTTTTTTTTACATTGATTACTTACATTTTGTGAATTCAGTTTTCCTCATCTATAGAAATATTATGGACGGATATTTATTAGTAACCGATAACCACACAGTCATGTACATCTTAAAGTTGAACTTCGAAATTTGCAATAAACCATATTGGTGTCCAAAAATAACAATCAGGTCGCCGGCCAATCAACTTACAAACAATGATTGAGCGGAGCAGCCCCGGAGCGTTGCAACGTGAATCATAAATAAATGAGCTTCCTTATGGATGCAAATGAATGTCTTGCAGTGATATTATAAACAAATTGGCTGTTTCGGTCTTTGTCAATTATCATAATTTTAAAAATATACAAAAGACGGTACGTCAGGTCGCCTGTTTGCCAGACGGCAATCTCTTTCAGTCTATCTCGGAATGACACTAAACTCAAAAACGGAATTATAGAAAATGATGATAAACAGAGGGCGGAACAAATAATATATAACAATAATAACGCACACGCTTATAGCCCCGCCCAAGGGAAACCTTGTATCGCGGTTGTCACACAGACAACCAAAAATTGCACCCAAATTCAAGATAAATAAATGTGGCCTATATTTTATTTCTCCCGGACCGAGAACCGAATCCGGGACCTCTGCGTGACAGTCAGCACGGTAACCGTTCTGACACGGAGGCAGTCAATGCTCTCTAAATACGAATTTAATGCATACTTCATTAAAAAATATATATATATTCTCTTAGCAGCTCTTCAGTCTCACTGAAATCGATAACTTAAACAAGGCGTTTTGACGGATATCGTTTATTAAGAAAAATATGATATATATTGCATATAACAAAAACATTAGTAAATATAACGAATGCATTGATGCAGAGAAATACCACAATTTATAAATGACGCGTTATTGCCTGTGCGATACAGGGACGTTGATCTTGTTTATGTAATAAATTATTTGAAACGCGCTCTCGGGCTCTCATTTTATTAAAAAATAACCTGTTCATTGATTGTTTGTGCTGTTATTTACATGTATACGAGCTCTTGTTGCTACACTTCTACTCTGCAGGGAAAACTTGGATATTATAAAAATCAGAATACAACGACAAGTGCGTCATTAACCAAATTAGGGGAAGGTAAATTCATCGTTGAAGTACCTATATATCGAAATATAACTTAGGTTACATTTACTTTGATCTTTTAGATAAAGAAGCAAAAAATTGTGCTTAGTGTTTATATTCAGAATTAATAAAAATGTACACGATAATTTACTGGTTTTTTTTTATTTCTTCCTCCTTGCATTAGGTAATCGGTATACTGCCGAACAGTAATTCAATATTCGGCGTTCGGCTAAGTAACAAAAAATAAACCGAATACCGAGTAGAAACCGAATATTCGTTGTAACTCTAGCTCATAATCTTTTTATTTTTATTACTATGTTTATGTAAAATTGCCATTTTTTGACGAATAATAAAACTTCCGGTAAGCAAATCGAAACAGTATCAATATATTTCCCCCGAGTATATCAGTAATTCATTTTTGATAAAAATTGACCTTTACGTTCTTTCTCCCGCGTAATATCGACATGCATATTTCAATGCGCCAAGGACTCGTTTCGAAGGCTACTAATAATGTAGTGCAGGTCAACAAAACATACTGCTTTGAAACGACCCCAGCTTAGTCTATTGTTGTCAAACCCGCACGCACAGCGCGGCAGCCAATTTGGCGACATGACTCAACTAGGATGGGGCGCTTCCGTCCGCGATCGCCCACGCAGCTCACATCACAATCAATTGACTCCTGACACTGTTTGACAGCGGTGCTAAATACAAATCACTTTATTAGATACACCTAACTGTCGATCACTGCGGCAATGGCTCAGTGGCAAAGACCTTTTCCTACCCAGCAATGGTGAATGCTTTAAAAGTTTCGCTTGGCGGTTTCGCTGCACACACGCTATCCGAACCCTACCAGCAGAATTACGCAGACAGTCATTAAGTCATGTCACGCAACAAGGGGCCCGGCTAATACAGCACGTTTGCCTGAACGCAGTCACCATATTAGGACATGTTGCCTACGAGATTCGTCAGGTTTACGAAGAGACACTTACCGTGGAAATAGTATGAAGGTATGTAGTTTCTTTTAATATAATTATATACTTTTTATTATGCTCATATGGATACGCATACGTAGTGCGCTCGTAGCAGGTAGATTGTGTGTGCGGTAATTATGAGTATAGATCACATGCTATTACAATCAAGACAATAAATGCATTATGTTCATTTCTAATATATAATAATAATAATGCGCACACTCAACATAGCCCTGCACTTGGGAAACCCTATATCGCGGGTGCCATGGACACACACATAGACAACCACAAATAACACCCAAACTCAGAGAAATAAATGTCGGCCATACATATATTTCTCCCGGCCCGGGAATTGAACCTGGGCCCTCTGTGTGGCAGTCAGTATGGTAACCGTTCGGCACGGAGGCAGTTAAGTATATTCCAACAGACAATATTTCCTGCTATATTTTGAAGTGGAGTAAATAACCTTTACCTGCTGGCGAGTTGTTTTGGTGCTAGCTATTGCCTTTTGTCACTCGCGGCGACTTGCAAAAGGCGTAGAAAATAATGTATGTTGGTTATTTTTATACTTCCAAGTAGTTTTTAATGTTCGCTCTAAACGAGCTGCGCCCGCGCCGCGCCACCGTGAAATCGCGTTGTGTGGCTTTTAAAAACCGTACAGGCTATGACCCTTCATCCACGAAAGCGGCAAAGAGAGATGTGTTTTAGCAACCAATAGGATTTCGTTATTTTCACATCAAGATATCGCTCATTTCTATTACCCAAGTAAACAAATTAAATTACGATCGATGTTTACGCGATATTTTATGTTTTAACTGTGTTTCTTGCTATCGCTCCACATTTATTAAAAAAGAACAATTCAATTTTGTTCCCAATATTTAGACTAGCGTGCAGATGCAAAGGCACGTAATCGCAATAGTTTGGTCCAACTGGCAGACTGTGGTACGATTCCGTGCTTACGAGAACGAGTACCAGTGTTTGCCAATTTATTGTAAAAAAAAATATATTGCTTGCATTGAAGAGAAGCATAAATATAGTATTCAGTCGGGACTAGTATTAATTTTATAGACATTTTTACGAGAATCTTTATGACATTCCTGGACGGCGAATGCAACCAGTCACGAGCCAGCCAGTCGGAATATTCCATTTTTATTTTACACGTGTTTTATACTATTATATTCATAAACATTGGTCAGAATTAACGTGAAAAAATACATACATATCATGCATACATACATCATATCAACTTCTGAGATCTTAATTACGTAGGTGTAGGGTTTCCCACCTAGCAGACCCTAAGAACAGGACTTAATTTTTCTGTATTATTTTCAAAGCGACTTGATTTTAATATCCTCATTTCTTGTGCAAACAAAATTTCAAAATTCAAAATTTCAAATCAAAATTTTGTGCAACGAATCGTCATTCAAATTATAACAAGCAATGAAATGAAAGATTCTTCACTGCAAAATAAAACAATGGCAACACAGAACTGCATCAGGCACAGGCGACCTTATTGCTACATAGAAAAAAGGGGGTGGCAACTAAAAA